TCCCAGGCCCCCGACGTCGTGACTCACACCCCCTCCCATCCCCCCTCATCGTCCTTGTCTTCCTACCTTCTCGTCATCCCCCCCCTACTCATCGTCGTACTCTGTCTCCTCCTCCTCCTCTTCCTCGATTCCTTCTCCTTGTAGATAACTCCTCCCTCAATTTCGTGGGCTCCTGGGAGGCCCAGCGGGGGTACGCCCCACGCGGACCACCTCGGTACCTCGCCGCCCCCTGGGGGGCTTGCGATCTGCGCAAGTGTCGCCACTTTCGTTGGCTCCTGGAAGGCCCAGCGGAGGTACGTCCAACGCGGACCACCTCCGTACCTCGCCGCCCCCTGGGGGACTTGCAATCTGCGCAGCTGTCGCCACTTTCGTGGGCTCCTGAGAGGCCCAGCGGAGGTATGTCCCACGCGGACCACCTCGGTACCTCGCCGCCCCCTGGGGGGCTTGCGATCTGCGCAACTGTCGCCAGTTCTGTGGGGTTCCTAGGAGGCCCAGCGGATGGTACGTCCCACGCGCGGCCACCTCGGGACCTCGCCGCCCCCTGGGGGGGGCTCTGCGCAGGCTGCGCCACGCGCCACTTTCGTGGGCTCCTGGGAGGCCCAGCGGAGGTACGTCCCACGCGGACCACCTCGGGACCTCGCCGCCCCCTGGGGGGCTTGCGATCTGCGCAATTGTCGCCACTTTCGTGGGCTCCTGGGAGGCCCAGCGGAGGTACGTCCCACGCGGACCACCTCCGTGCCTCGCCGCCCCCTGGTTGCGATCTGCGCAACTGTCGCCACTTTCGTGGGCTCCTGGGAGGCCCAGCGGAGGTACTTCTCACGCGGAACCCTCCGTACCTCGCCGCCCCCTTTCTTGCGATCTGCGCAACCGTGCCGCTTTCGTGGGCTCCTGGGAGGCCCAGCGGAGGTCCCACGCCGAACCTCGTACCTCGCCGCCCCCTGGGGAGCTTGCGATCTGCGCAACTGTCGCAACTTTCGCGGGCTCCTGGGAGGCCCAGCGGAGGTACGTCCCACGCGGACCACCTCGGTACCTCGCCGCCCCCTGGGGGGCATGCGATCTGCGCAACTGTCGCCACTTTCGTGGGCTCCTGGGAGGCCCAGCGGAGGTACGTCCCACGCGGACCACCTCGGGACCTCACCGCCCCCTGGGGAGCTTGCGATCTGCGCAACTGTCGTCACTTTCGCGGGCTCCTGGGAGGCCCAGCGGAGGTACGTCCCACGCGGACCACCTCGGGACCTCACCGCCCGCTGGGGGGCTTGCGATCTGCGCAACTGTCGCCACTTTCGTGGGCCCCTGGGAGGCCCAGCGGAGGTACGTCCCACGCGGACCACCTCCGTGCCTCGCCGCCCCCTGGGGGGGCTTGCGATCTGCGCAACTGTCGCCACTTTCGTGGGCTCCTGGGAGGCCCAGCGGAGGTACGTCCCACGCGGACCACCTCGGGACCTCACCGCCCGCTGGGGGGCTTGCGATCTGCGCAACTGTCGCCACGTTCGTGGGCTCCTGGGAGGCCCTTTTGTGTTCACTTTTTGGGCGCGTTTATTTCAACGCCCCTGTGTTCCATTTTGTATAGTTGCCGTTCCTCTTCTTGATGCGCTCTTCTGAAATCACTGCTGGGTGTTCTTCTTGCGCACTGCGGGTCCTTCAGAATGCCAGTCAGCATTGGGTGGTCCTGAGTAGAATCGCGACATGTATACAAAGGGTCTGGTCTGTCACAAGGTATTCTTGAAACAAATCCAGGAATGTCACGGATTCTCATGGTCAGCGTACCAGAAACAGCGCTTTGGAAGGATTCAGGATTATGCGGGCGCAGCAGTTCTGTTGATTCGCTGCGTTGAAATCCCAAAGTGGCGTTCTGGCACGATTCTGGACCGTCAAGGTGCAGCAGTCAGGTTGATACGTGGCGTTGGAATCCCGAGAACAATGTTTGGGCACGTTTCAGGATATTCAAACTGTTGCCTTCCAACGAAGCAGTTCCTCCAATGGAAATGAGCCGTTGTATGGGGCCTACGATAAGAGAGACTGGAGGGAGGGTTAAATCCAACATCGTTGATGACTCTTGGGTTTACACTGGTCCTCCTCCTCCTCCTCCTCCTCCTCCCTCGTCTTCCGCTTCCTGCTCCATTTCTTTTCACTAGCACCTCCACATCGCACCCACAGAGGTGTCGGCAAGGCGAACCGGGCATTTCGCTCGAGAATTCACCACTTCTAATCCTGAAGCTTGCAGCTTGCATCAGTTACCCGGGTGGATAGGGGTGGTTTCAAAATAAGGCTCTCGCCCCTGCGCCGCGCACATTCGTCTTCAAAGTGCGCAGCATGTTCAATAATGGAGGAGGTCATGTTCTAAGTGAGGAAATCGCCCCTGCGCCGCGCCCGTTCATAAGCTTGCCTCAGGGGTGGAGCACAAGGCGGTTTCAAAATTGAGTTCTCGACTTCACGCCGCGCACATACGTACTAAACGTGTGCACCAACTATAAGGATGTAGGGTGGCGATTTCAAAATGGCGCACTCGCCCAAGCGCCGCGCACATTCGTTCTAAAAACTTGTATCGCTCAAGAGATGGAGGACGGTTCTTCTCAACATTCGGCGGCGAGAGAAGGGGGGGAGTGAGAAAGGGAAGGCCTTCTCAGAGGGCGGCAGGACTTCTCGAAAGCTTCCGCACCTTCTAAGAAAGCGACAGTGTCTTCGGGGAAGGTTTCGACAAGTCCTCAGAAGGCCGGGGGGGGTTCTGAGCATTCTGTTGAGAAGGCCCGCCCCTCTCGCTCCCCCCACGCCCCCCAGGGCTCGCCGCCGACACACGACGCCTCGCACGAGAGGCGTCTTCGAGCAAAACAGAAAAAGGGGGAAAAAAAAAACTTGAGCAGATGTAGCGCCTGCACGGACGGAGGGCGGTCCCCTGTCAACTAAAAAACGAGGCGTGACCTGGGAGACTTCCTCGAAGACAGCCGCCATACACGCCGGCCGGGCGTAGCAGATAAAAACACGAAGTAGGACAGCGGATAATGTCGATTGGGTTCGTGCCCTCGCAGAGAACAACAAAGAACAGCAGAAGCATAGGCGCTTGAAGTATATTCTTTTTTTGTCGAACCGACCGCGTTCATCGCGGGAAACAACCCCCGACATAACAAGGCATTCGCCGCATACATCAAAAGAACGTCCGATCACAAGTCAGACATCCATAGGAGCTGCTTGGTCTCGCTAAAGCAAGCTCTAGCTGAGAAGTGAAATGCCGTATACCGACGCGCGCCAACTATCACGATCAAACAAGGGCGGCACGGGTGAATCCCGCAAATGTGCTCGCTGGGTCATGCCACAAGGATCCGCGAAACGTGGAACCCGACAGTGACTCTACAGCCCGGCTGACGCGCGCGCCAGGGAGGTTGCCCTAGGCGGAAGACACATCAGCACGTCCGCCGAGTGCGTGCAATTATCTGCCAGGTCTGCGCTGTCGAGCTTGAAATGCTGGCTTGCCCCTACCTGGAGGCCGCACAGAGTAGGCAGCCCGGACAACCCCGGACAACCCCAGAGTAGGCTTGCCCTGCCTGAAGGCGCTTGAGGTGGACTGGGATCTGGGCATCCAAAAACACCTACTTTCGACGACCGGCGCGTAGTGGCGAAAAGGTGTTGCAGCAGCCACACGGGCGGCGGAAGTCCTTTAAAGCCTCAATTGAGAACCGTGTGCTCATGCCGTGCCGACCTCCGCCCGACTTCCTGCAAGGGTGCGCGTGCTGAGGCCCAGTAACACGACCGGCGTGCTGACACCCCCCCTTCGCGACAAGGGTTGCGTCGCGCATTCGTCGCCCGTGCGCCGCCCGTGCGTCGGCCGCCGAAAAGGCCGGCCGTCCTCGCGAACGTTCGCGTCGCCCTCGCAAGGGAGCATTTTGGCGAGTTCTTTTCAGAGCAGCACCGTGCAAGTGCGCGCACCGTGCGCGGCGGTTCTGTTCAAGGCAAGGCTCGCGCCCGAAGGGCAAGCACACAGGGTGCTGGTTGCTTCGGGGACGCCGCGTCTACAGTCGGCCTTGATTGGACAGGACACGCGAGAGGACACGAGACCCTTGCGAGAGCCACACCGCCGTAGGCATGCAGGAGGCACAGGTCGCGAGACACAGGACACAAGGGTACCCTCGATTTGGCAGGGTCGACCTACTAATCCGGGCCGACTGTAGGGTGCTGGTTGATTCGGGGACGCCTCTTGTAGTGAAAAGGATGGCCTGTAAAGGACCGATGAGGAAGGGACTTGGGACGGGAGGGTGCATGGTGGCATCCGTGGTGCTCATGTGGTTCACCCAGGTCCTCGTCCACCAAATCCTCCTTCCTCTCCCTCCTCCTTCTCATCCTGCCTCCCGCATCCAGCCTCCACATCTCGTCCTGCCCCTCCTCCTCCCCCGTTCCCCACTTCCCTGCCCCGCCTCATCTGCCTCCTCCCTCTCCCCTCCCCCTCCCCAGGATCCAGCATGCTCCCTCTGCCACCACCTCCTCCCCATCACCAAATCCATTCACGATTGCGCTTCTCTTGGAGCTCGAAGGCCAGCCCAGGGGGGAGGGGAAGGGTCTGACAGTCTCCTCTTCCTCGTCCGCTATGGCATATTTTGAGCTTGAGCGGCACTCTAGCAGGGGTCAACCAACACAAGCTCTTTCAAGATCATGCGTGTTGGCCATCCGCCGTTAAGGCTGACACACGTTGCCAACTGAGGGATCCCGATCACTGTGACGGTGGCCGCGCTCCTCCTTCCGCCAACACAATGCCATTCAAGCAGCGATGGCGATGGCAAGCCTCAAGACCGTGAACGAGTGAGACCTATGGCTGGACTCTCTGGCAGCCTCTCGTGCCCGGCGGGCAGACCAACCGGGCAGCGTGACATACCGTGAACGCTCGTGCTGTGCCTCCTCTGCGGCTCGCCCGTCGCAGTCGCGCTCCATGCGGATCCAGCACGGCGCCGACGATGACAGGTACGCTCACGTGCAATACAATCATGATCTCGGACTCGAACTCGTTGAAGCACTCAGCGCTCGGACAGATGACTTCTCCGTGCGAGCACGTCGGCTCTCGACAGCGCCGACTGCGACAGCTCCCCCAGGACGGGTAGCGCTGGTCGCCGCTGTCCACCTCTCTCGCAAGCTCTGATTCCAGCACTGTGCCCGAAAGAATCCAGTTCGAGTTTCGCCTCTAGGAGCCTGCCCAACAACAGTAACGACTGTTGCCATTGCCCGCCTTTCTCACAAGCGCTAAGGACTGGACTGAAAGTGACAGTGTCTGGCTGCAGCGCCGCTTCCTCCAACTCACAAAGCAGCACTAACGAGTGTTGCCACTGCCCACCCTTCTCACACGCGCTGATTGCAATATTATATGCAAGAACGTCCAATTCCAACCCCACTTCGGTCACCTCGCTTAGCAACGACAGTGCCTGGCCATCTCCTCTTTTCTGGCCGCACGCACTGATTCCAGACATGTAGCTGCCAATGTTCGGCTCCGAATTCACAGCCTTCATGTCTCTGAACAGCAACAGTGCTCGCTGCCACTGCCCGACTTGTGCACAGGCCCTCATCCCAGCATTATAGCTTACTAGATTCGGCGCCACCTCCGTTTCCGACATCTCACCCAAAAGGGACAACGCCTCCTGCCATTTGCCGCCTCTCTCGCACGCGCTGATTCCAGCGCTGTAACTGAGCAGCGCGAACCGCATGGGTAAAAACAACCAGGAGACTAAGCGCATAGGCGCCTGCCGAAATCTCTGTCGATGTCGATCACGTTTTGCGGTGGGGATGCTCTGGTCGGAACGCACTGGTTTCGGCCAGATCTAGAACCCCGCAGGGACTGGAGACCCATGTTTCTCGAGCGCGCCTCCTCGAATGCCGCCGATGTCGAGCACTTCCTCTCGCGCGCGCACGTGCTGCTCGAACATTCGCTCCAAGCTCCCGCTGTCTCTTCGCAATCTCGCATGGCGAAGACTACTGTCGCGTCTTCGTTGCAGGCTCCTGGCGCCGCTCGCGGGGTCCGGCGCGCCCCCGCGCGGTCGGTGCCGGAGGCCAGAGAGAGAGTGCGCAGCGCTGAGGGGTGGTGCACGGCAGCTGCAGACGGTCGTAGGGTCAGGAACTGCTGCTCAGCGAGTCGCGGCGGCGTCCCCAGCGACACGCTACAGTCGGGGCGCTGACCTAAGGAACCCTAGATAAGGAACGGGGCCCCTTTCTTCCACAAGTGAAACTTCAATTTCCGATCAAAAACATAAGGGAAACCTGAGGCAAGCTGCGAAACACTTAAGGAACGCGGAGCCTTTCTCCCATAAGTTGAGCTTCGATGTCCCATGGAAGACCTCGGGAAAGCAGAAGGCAAACCGTCGAACAATCACGGAGCACCGAGCGCCTCCCCAACGAAAAGGGTTCCTTCTTCAGGGCCCCAGCGGCACGCTATGCCCTGCGAGTGGAGGGGCGGGTCGTGCCGCTGCGCGGGGGGGGAGGCGCTGGGAAGAGCTCAAGACGTTGACGCTCGAGGCCTGGGGCGCGCTTGGCGCGGCGCGCCGGGGCGTGGCCAGGCCAGGACCGGCGGGGCGACACTCCTCCTCCTCCTCCTCCTCCTCATCCTCCCTCCTCCTCCTCCTCCTCCTCCTCCTCCTCCTCCTCCTCCTCCTCCTCCTCCTCCTCCGACCGTAAACCTTGCACGCTTGTTGGCACTCCTGTCGTCGAAGCTCGAACCGAGCATGAGGTGCCCCAGGGCTTCTGGAGGTCCCAATGGCCAGAGGGGGGAAGGAGGAACTTCCAGAGGGGCCTCGGCTGGCAGCCCGTTTCTGTACTCGATGTGCCTACTGTAAGACACGCTGGGCATCACATCCAAGAACATCAACCTGCCACTTTCGCGATCCGCGCGCGCTTCGACACTAAACATGTTCTTTCCGTAGACTATTTTGTTTCTCGGCACCGCGCTTGCTCCTCGGTCTGCACCGATCTGGTGGTCAGTGAATGGCGCATCGAGGTGCCTGGAGGAAAAAAGAAGGTAGGTGTAGGCCTAAGGGTTGTGGTGTGGAGACTGTGGTAGAGTACCTCGTGAGCCTCCAGGGGCAGGAAGGGTGCGCAACGCCAAACCTTGCCAGTGATCGCACGCGCCTCTTCTGAAAACATGTTAGCCCGCTTGGACCCCAAACAATAAATCATTGCACTGTGGCGGTGGGAGCTATGCGAAGTAAGCTATTCGGTGGAACCTGTGGGGTGAAAGCAATGCTGTGCAAACTGATTACGTTCAATGTGTGTAAGGTATGTTGTGCGAGCTATGTTGTGTAGGCTATGTGGCGAAATAGATGTGCTATACGCTGTGTTGCGTCAGTTATGCGGCGTGCGCCATGTGGCGTGAGCTATGCGGTGTGAGGTATGTGGTGTACGGTGTGTTGTGCAAGCTATGCGGTGTGAGAGCTGTCCGAGCTGATCTAGGTCGAATGAACTGGGTAGCGTGTGCCATGTGGCGACAGCTACGCGGTGTCGGACATCTGGCGTGAGCTGTGGGGTGTAAGCTCTGCGGTGTAAGCTATGTGCGGGGAAACCAAAAAGTACTGATACCGCTACTCCCTGGACCTCTCCCGGGGCGCGTTCTGACCAGCATTTCGAGGCGACTCAAACGGTGGCGACGAGGGCCCCCGAGGAGGCCCAAAAAGGGGAAAACGAGCGAAGGGCAGAGAGATTGGGAATCTTTTCCTCCGCTGCAGTGGCTCCCACGAGGCGCCCCCGGGCGGGCACCAGGCGAAGCGTCCGCACACTGCCCCTGCGCGGGGCGCCCGCGAGGCGCCCCCGGGCGCGGTCACCGGTCGAAGCCTCGGCATTGCCCCCCACCCCCGCTGGGAGCCCATCGAACGCCCCCACGGCGCGGGCGCCAGGCGAAACCTCGGCAGATCCATCCAACTCTGGGCGCCCACGACGTGCCCGCAGACATGATGGGCCAAAGTTCGACCACCACCATCACAGGTAGGACGGGGGGAGAAGGGAAGATGGGAGGGTCCTGCTTCTCCTCCTCCTCCTCCTCCTCCTCCTCCTCCTCCTCCTCCTCCTCCTCCTCCTCCTTCTCCCCCTCCCCCTCCTCCTCCTCCTCCTCCTCCTCCTCCTCTCCTCCTCCTCCTCCTCCTCCTTCACCCCCTCCCCTCCTCCTCCTCCTCCTCCTCCTCCTCCTCCTCCTCCTCCTCCTCCTCCTCCTCCTCCTCCTCCTCCTTTCCCTCCTCCTGCAATCCCCAGGGCGGTCTATCGAACGCCCGAGGGCATGCCCCCACTGAACTCCACGAGCATGGCGGCGATGGTGTACGCGAAGTAGACGAAACCGGAGCCGGCCTGACCCTGCAGCAACGCCGGATCACCCAGCCAGCGAGGCGGCCAGGGCGGCCCGGGCGCGCGGGCGTTCCCCCTCCGCCCCGAGCGCCGTGCGCAGCTGGCGCGCCGTGGCGGCCTGGAGCACCATCGAAAACTCAGCGCCCTAGCGGCGCGCCAAAGCGCTGGCTGCCGCCGCGGCCGCCGGGCCGTCGTCCGCGGCCAGGAGCTAAGCGCAGTCTCGCGCCAGGCGCCGCAGGTGGCGCAAGGCGGCCAGGCCGCGGCGGCCGCCCGGTTCGAGCGCGAGCGGCACCATGCGCCAGGGCCCGCGCCCTGCAGGGTACCGGGCGTGCTTGTCAACCTCGGCGCCCCTGGCGACGGCGCCATCGCGCGCCACGGCGGCCTGGAGCCCGTCGGCGTCGCAGGGCACGCCGTAGCGCACGGTGCCGTCGGCGAACACCCGCGGGGGCGTCCGCCCGCCGGGGCTCCATGTCGAGGATGGCTTCCTCGCGCCCGGCCGTCAGCGCAGTCCCGCAACTGGCGCCGGCCGCCCCCGCCGCCAGGCGCGCGGGCGCCGTGCCGCCTGCCTCGCAGCCTGCGCAGTGCCAGCGCCAGCGGTCCGAGGCCGGTACTGGGGTCTGCCGCGCGACTCGGAAGCTGCATTCGGCGTGGATCCGCTCCCACGCGGTCTCCAAGTCGCCGCCGCGCGCCTTCAGCCCGCCTCCGCGCGCGCAGCGCCAGGCGTGGTGGGCCTTGGCGCAGAGCGGGTCGCCGCAGCGCTGCATGGCCAGCCCGCCCCCCGGGCCGTGTGCAGTTCTGGCAGGTGGCCCCGGCGGGCGCCGCGTCTTGGCCCAGCAGGCAGCGTGCCGTTGAGCGGAAGTCAGGGTCGTTCAGCTGCTGCCCGCGCTCGCCGGGCGAGACGGTCTGCCAGCCTGACGCGTGGGGGCCGCCGCAGGAGCGGAGCAGCGCCAGATCCTCCTCAGAGTCCGGGAAGCTAAGCAGGAGTCACAAGTCCTCCTCCTCCTCCTCCTCCTCCTCCTCCTCCTCCTCCTCCTCCTCCTCCTCCTCCTCCTCCTCCTCCTCCCTCCTCCCTCCTCCTCCTCCTCCTACACCTCCTCCTTCCTCCTCCTCCTCCTCCTCCTCCTGTTCCTCCTCCTCCTCCTCCTCCTCTTCCTCCTCCTCCTCCTGCCTATGGTAGCGGTGGTGGGAAACCGGCCCATGCAGACACCAAGCGAAACCTCGGCATACCGGCATACCAACCCCGCGCGGGGCGCGCACGAGGCGCCCACGGGGGCCGGCACCAAGCGGAAGCCAGCCGAGAGCCTGGCGTACCGATCCAGTTCCTCCTAAGGAAGAGGAGTGGGAACCCAAAAGTGCAAGCACTGGTTGGAGAGTGTGGCAGTGAAGGCATGGTGATGACATTCGGCTCCAGCTTCAAGTCCAAGGCCTCCCTCAACAGCGACAGCGCCTGTTGCCACTGTCCGCCCTTGTCACACGCGCTGATCCCAGCGCTGTAGGCAACAACATCGACTCTCAGCATAACCTCCCACGACTCTCGTAACAACAACAAGGCCTGCTGCCACTGCCTGCCTTTCTCACACGCGCTGACTCCAGCGTTGTAGCTGACTAGGGCAGACCCGTGGACTGACATTCCCGGCACTGGCGCCGAAGTGCACAAGCGCCTTCATACCCCGCATCTCGCTGATCAATGATAACGCCTGCATGATATGCCCGCTTTTATCGCACGCGTCGACTCCAGCAGTGTATCTGATAAGATGAACCTGCGAATGGCCATCCAATTCCCTCCTGCCTCTTTCATCGGTTTCCCTCCTTCCTTCCCCATTATCCTCCTCCTGCTCCTCCCCTCCCCTCGCAATTCCAGCTCAAGCCATGCTTAGCCGGCTCCAGAAGCCCAGAATTACGACGAGACCGAAAGAACAGGAGCACAACCAGATATGCTTGGCCATGGCTTTGCCACTGCCTCCTGGGGACCAGGGAAGCTCCTGAGGGGCGAGGGTGCGACTCCCAGACTGGCCCCCCAGCACCCGAGGCGGCCCAAGAGAACTTCCGTGGTTTCGGGGGTCTCCGGAGCGGAGAGTCTCCCAGGAGCCGCCCTGGCTCCTGGGAGACTGATGATGATGATGATGACGATGATGATGCTGCTGATGGTGATGATGATGATGATGATGATGATGATGATGATGCTGGTGATGGTGATGATGATGATGGTGAATGCTGATGACGATGCTGATGCTGATGCTGATGATGATGATGGTGATGGTGATGATGATGACGACGACGATGATGATGATGATGATGGTGATGATGATGATGAAGGCTGCTGCTGCGGCTGTTGCTGATTATGATGATGATGCTGCTGATGGTGATGATGATGATGGTGACTGCTGATGATGATGCTGATGCTGATGCTGATGCTGATGCTGATGCTGATGCTGATGCTGATGATGATGATGATGATGAATGCTGATGATGATGATGATGATGATGATGATGATGATGATGATGATGATGATGATGATGATGATGATGAGATGAGGAGGAGGAGGAGGAGGAGGAGGAGGAGGAGGAGGAGGAGGAGGAGGAGGAGGAGGGAGGAGGAGGAGGAGGAGGAGGAGGAGGAGGAGGAGGAGGAGGAGGAGGAGGATGGGGAGGGAGGGGGGGCAGCCCCGGAGAGTCTCCCAGGAGGGACAGCCCCGGGCTCGGCCGGGCGCGGCTCCGGGGGCCCGGTCGGGGCGCCGCGGTTTGGCGCGCCCGGGGCCTGCCGCCGAGAGCAGCCCGGAGGCCCCATCGGGCGCTCCCCGGGGGCTCCAGGCCCGCCCCGGCTCTCGGAGCAGTGGGCTGCACCCGAGGAGGAGGAGGAGGAGGAGGAGGAGGAGGAGGAGGAGGAGGAGGAGGAGGAGGAGGGGGGAGGGAGGAGGAGAGGAGGGGGAGGAGGAGGGGAGGGGGGAGGAGGAGAGGAGGAGGAGGAGGAGGAGGAGGAGGGGGGAGGAGGAGGGGGGAGGAGGGGGAGGAGGAGGAGGAGGGGGAGGAGGAGGATGAGGAGGAGGAGGAGGACGAGGAGGGGGGAGGAGCCCAACCCTGAGGCCCCAGGACGTCCATTGCTTGCGGGCGGGGCCCGAATGTGCTTCTCGCGAGGTGAAAACTGACTGGACTGAGCTGGACTGAGCTGAACTGAACTGAACAGACTGGTCGCACCTGTTACGCGACGGTGATATTCTCGGCCGCCACGGGCGCAACCTATTGCCAACCGATAGGAGACGGCTTTTATTCTCGGCCGCCGAGGGCGCCACCTATTGCGCAACCGATGGGAGACGGCTTTTATTCTCGGCCGCCGAAGGCGCAACCTATGGCGCAACCGATCGGAGACGGTTTTACTCTCGCCCGCCGAGGGGGCAACCTATGGAGCAACCGATCGGAGACGGTTTTATTCTCGGCCGCCGAAGGCGCAACCTATGGCGCAATCGATAGGAAACCGAGCTCGAGCAGGAGGAAGACGAGGAAGACGAGGTGGATGAGGAGGAGGACGAGGAGGAGAACGACGACGAGTATCAGGATGGGGAGGAGGACGGGGAGAAATACGAGTAGTACGAGGACGAAGTGTGGGCATTCGAATGCATGCGGGGCTACGCCCGATTTATGCTCGCCGTTTGGGCTGGAGGTTGGGCCCAAGCGGCGAACTGTCTTGTGATTTTTGGGGTGGGAACGTCACGCTTCCCACAGCAAAACCATCGAAACCCAAGAAACCCAGGGCACCTTGGAGGCAAGCAGGGTGTTTCTTGGCATTGGTTTCAACTGTAGCTTCCTTGCGCGGGCCAACCACTTGGTAAAAGTAATGGAATGACATTTGGCTCCAGCGTTGCTCTCTCCATCTCTCTGAGCAGCGACAGCGCCACCTGCCACTGCCCACATTTCTCGCAAGCGCTGGCCGCGGCATTGTAGCTTGTGACGTCTGCCTCCACATGTTCTTCGCACAACTTCCGGAGCAACGACAATGCCTGCTGCCACTGCTCACCTTTCTCGCACGCGCTAATCGCAGCGCTGTAGCCGATGACATCCACCTCCAACTGCACCTCCTTCGTCTCTCTGAGCAACGAGCACGCCTGCTGCCACAGGCCCTTTTTCTCGAATGCACTGATTCCACCGCAATAGCTGATAATGTCTGGTTCCAACTTCATCGCACGCATCTCTCTCAGCAGAGACATAGCGTGTTGCCACTCCGCTGCTTTCTCACATGCGCTTATAGCAGCGTTGTAAATGATAGGTTCTGGCAACGCTTGCGATCTGAGCATGTCGCCCAACAACGTCAGTGCCATCTTCCACTCCCCACGTTTCTCGCAAGCACTGACTGCAGCACTATAGCTCATACTGTCCGGCTCTAACGCTGTTTCGCGCATTTCCTGCAGCAGAGACAAGGCTTGCTGCCACTGTCCACCTTTCTCGCACGCGCTTATCCCTGCACAGTAGCTGACGACGTCTGCCTCCAGATCCATGTTCCACAACTCCCTCAGCAAAGACAGCGCCTGCTGCCACCGCCCTCCTTTCCCGCATGCGCTGACTGCTGCGTTGTAGGTGACTAGGGTCGGCCCGTGGACTACCGTCCAAGGTAAGTTCCGGAAGTGTAGGGATCGCTTGCCTTTTTGCCAGCCGTTTGGCGAGCCGTCCTGATCGCGTGGTACTCAGCCCGGTGGCCCGACAGCGCGTGCCTGCTGGCCTGCGTTACGCTTCAGCTTGCTGTCGCGGGGTGCTGCTGATTGCCGGCTCTGTTTGCCAGTGCCGTCTGCTGCTGAGTGCTTCTGGCGTTGGGGGCCGTGCCGAGGCTCTCTTGGACCGTACTGGGGGCGTCTCGATGCCCTGTGGAGCCGTCTGCGGCCACGTCGGGGTCCCCTGGGGCTGGCTGGGGCCCTCTTTGGGCCAACTCGTCGGACCTCTCCTCTGCTGCCTTGGGTTGGGGCTCTCCGGGGCCTCTCGGACACTCTTCGGGCTCTTCGTGGTGCCATCTTTGGGCCGTCCTGGAGGCTTCGTGGTACGCTCTGGGGCCCTCTTGTGGCGGCCTCGGGCCGTCCTGGGAGCTTCTCCAGACACGCCGAGGCCCTCTTGGAAATCTACCGTGGCTGTCGTCGGCATTCCGAGCCGTGTGGAGCCCTCCTGAGGCCAGCTTGGGCCGGAGGGCCTGGAAGCCGAAAGCACATGACAAGCAGCACCCCTGCGGCAGAAGCCTCCGAATAGCTTTCAGCACAGTTAAGGTGGGGTCCACAATACGGGGGTCACGACGGGGGGGCGCGATGGTCGGCCACAATTGGGGGGCCAAGGATGGGGGGATCGGTATAAGGGCAGGGCTAAGAGCATCAGGCCAGGGATATGAGGCTTAGGATAAAGGAATGGGGATATAGGGATTGGGATCTAGCGATAGGGATCTAAGGAGAGGGACACAGGGATGAGGGTAGGGACCTAAGGAACTGATGCAGGAAGACCAATAAAGGGGTAGGGAAAGGGATGACAATGGGAGACCACGAGAGGCAACGGGAGGCCACGGTAGGCAACCAGAGGCCACGGGAGGCGACGGGAAGCAACGCGAGGCGGCAACGAAAGGCCACGGGAGGCAATGGGAGGCCACGGGAGGCAACGGGAGGCAATCCTGGATCCAGCGGTGCACTCACCAGGTAGTAAAAAGCGAAATTGGTTCCCTGACAGGCACGGCTTTTTAGGGAAACAGTTGACTGGCAGTGAGTTGTGACATCTGAAGCCTCTCTCTTGGCGCCTCTTCGGGCCTCTCCTGGGGCACCTCGGATGCCTCGTCGAGCGTCTGGGACCGCTCGTGGCGAGCCGTGGGGGCCTCGTGGGCAGTTCCGGAAGCCTCTCCGTCGATCGTCAGGGCTCCGAGACGGGTTCCAAAGGCACGCCGACGCCCACCGGAGCCGTGGGGGGGGCGGGGGGGGGGCACCTCCAGCCCGCCGGAGCCCGTCGGAGGCGCGCCGCCGAGGGCCTTCCTGCCTGGGCCGCCGGGGCACCTGGCGGGGAGGGCTCCTGGACGGGAGGCATTGCCCCGGCACGCCTGCGTGCCAGAACGGTAGAGGTGTCGATGATGACGTCTGGCGCCACCCTCGCTCCCCCCATCTCCCGCACCAGCGACAGAGCGTGCTGCCACTCGCCACCCTTCTCGCAGGCGCTGACTGCAGCGCTGTAGCAGATGGCGTTCGGACGCAGCCGCGATGCCCAGGAGTCCCCAAGCAATAGTAGGGCCCGTTGCCACTGTCCACTTTTCTCGCACGCACTGATTCCGGAGCTGTAGCTGATGACATCTGGATTTAGTCTTGCTTTGTCGAATTCTGCCAGGAGACACAGTGCCCGCTCCCATTGCCCAGCTTTCTCGCACGCGCTGATTGCAGCGTTATAGCTGACGGCGTTCGGCTCCGTCTTCGCCCCCCTCAGACTACCTAGCAGCGACAAGGCCTGCTGCCATTGCCCACCTTTCGCACATGCGCTGATTCCAGCACTGAAGCTGAAAACATCCAGTTCCAAATTCGCTTCGCATAGCTCCATCAGCAGCGACAGCGCCTGCTGCCACCGACCACCCTTCTCACATGCACTGATTCCAGCACTGTAGCTGAAAACATCTGGTTCCAAATTCAC